CCAAAACTTTGGGGGTTTTTTAGAGTTCAGTGGCTAAAAAAAAAATGGGGGGATTGAGAGAGGTAAATTAGGACTGTCCTGGGAAATATGGTTGCTAGTTTAGTAGTCCTTTTCAGAGGTTAAAAATTCACATTACAACCAAATCTGAAAATAATTAATGTCTGTTCTTTCTACTTCTGTTTTTATATATTAGATTTCCCCATGTTTTAGATCATTGTTAAATTTGCCATGATAGAAACAGGAGAAGAGTTTCAGATTTGAGTCCTTCTGTATAGTCAGTCAGCTAATTACTTGCTCTGTAGGTTGAAAGTTATATTCCTCATCCCTTAATAATAAATACTATGTTACCTTCCATCTCAAAAAATGGATTAACTCTGATTAAAAAACTCATGACCGTTCAACCTCGGACTGAATGACCTAGATTTTAGGTGATAGGGATTCACTGATAAATTTTCTATATAGTGCTGACTTTTGACTCCTTTGAACCATATAAATAACCAGATGTTCCCAGACTTCTCTTCCAGCCTGAGCTCTGGTTACATGTTCACGTAGTAGAAACTCAAAAAAATGTTTGCTGAATGGAAATTCCACTAAATATGAGCAGAAAACACAGAAGTAACAGTTTTATAAGATCATAAATAAAATTTAGTAAAATTAAGTCTCCAAATGGACACTTTCTGTTCTTTTTTTTTTTTTCTGGTAAAAGATGCCAGCTGGTTTAGAACTGCAGTTGGTGCCTTTTGAAGGAATGTAAGCCTTGTCTGGGCCAAGCACCAATTGCTTTTTGGTGTGCCATTCTTGGTTCATATTTCAGCATTTCGAAAATTCATATTAAGGAACAGAGCTACTGAATTCAGCTGGCCATACTCAGTGAAATAGTTTATAAAATTTAGCTGTGGTTCCTTATGTTGATTGTGTTCTGATATGAGCATTTGAACCTAAGTGAAATGAATTGTTAAGATGCACAGTCAAAATAAGTCTTTTTCCTTTTTTATCTGCCAGAACAAAAAAAAAAAGAAAAGAAATTGATAGGAAGAATTCACTCCTTCGATTCAATTTTCAGAAACATTTTGATACTTTCAAGTCACAACTAGATTAGTGCATGTCTGTCATGCAGTTTTCTGGAAATGCGTTTAAAAGATTGAAACATGAACAAGGTAGTACTAGAAGAGCTCTCAAATTAGAAAGGCTTCATAATGTTGAGTTGAACTTTCAGAGAACAGTTCATCCACAGAAAAGGTTAGTTCATGGGTCAAAAAGGGGCCTGGAAAAAGAAAAAAAAATTATTCCCAAATTACACAAATTACAATTGTAAGCAACAATTACTGAGTAGGATTGGCTTCTTCCTCAGCTGACGTTATGTAGAAATGTTGAACAGAATACTAACTTTCCTTCCTGAGATACCATTTTAACACCAATCTGATTTCAGAATCTTCTCAAAAAAATTTTTTTTTCTTGCTAATAATTTAAAATAGAATCAGACTAAATAACATGGTTTTAAAATCCAGCCCAGTAATCATACCCAGAAAGACTTTTAAGGACAGTCCATGGTAAGGATCAGAATGGCTCAAGGAAATTGGAGATAACCAAATGGTCTTCTAATCACACAAAATGCTCATGTTTCACATAGACTATTTCTTCCTCTTATCCTTTTCCTCAGTTTTACAATGGCTTCACCTCCACAGTCTCACCCTAGGACATCAGCGTTTAAATATCACCAGGATCTCCTGGTCTCTTCAAGTCCTACTCTGTGAACCAGGCACAGAGACAGTTCCCAGAATCTCTTTTAAGGTTACCTAGCTTTTGCCCTAGAGAATCTTGGATTCTTATGTAATACAGTACTAGGGGAGACTGTTGGGTTCTACAGAAAAATTCACTTGTGATAACAACTTATGGTGACAGATTAAACTTTACCTGAGAGGAACAAAATCTATTTCAAGCCCACCAGGGTACATCAGCCTGCTGGGCTCCACCATCTCCTCTTTCCAAAAATATACTTTTCCTTTCACTCTGCAGATTGAATCTAGGCTCTGAACTGGAGAAACTCTTCTGATTGGTGACTCAGCTCATTTTCTGCTTATGATTACCAATTCCTTGACCTTTTCGGTTCCTTTTTTTTTTTTTTTTTTTTTTGAGTTGGCCAGAAAAGGACCTCTCCTCTCATTACCCTTTTATTTCTTTGGCAGGGTTAGTATTTACCCCAGTTACTAAAAAGTCAACTAGGAAGCTGTTCTCCTTCCTAGGGTATGGGGGGCGGGGTTGGGAAAGAACTTGTTCCTCTTTTATGTAACTCATTAGCATTAGGGCTCAGTTAGCTTTAAGGGACCCATTTGTCTGTTTTCAGTGCAGCTGTCTGTGTTATTCTGAAATTCCTATTTTGGATGCCCAACTCAAATCTAAAATAATAATTAAAAAAAGATATAGTATTATTTCTGGAATCCTCCTTAGGTACCCTGGCTATCTAGTATTAAAATCTGGCTCAGTGTGGAAGTCTGACTTTTGGAAAATTTAAAAATTGATCTTAGAAAAATGGATCCCATTTTTCTTCTCCCAAGTCAGCCATCACATTGGTGAATTAGAAGGAAGGTCATATTTCAGAGAAGTAAACTCCTTCTGGGGCATTGGTAAAGATTCCAGAATACCTTAAAATGACCCCAAAGTTGAACTGATTGGATTGGAGGTGGCAGTAAAGGCTCTGTTTAGAGGTAAGACCTGTGGGGTTGGGACGGGATGGGAAGGAGGAAAGAAAATGGCATCCTGCCTTGCAGATCTTGAATAACTATCTTTCAGGTTTAATGCAAGGTTACTAACTGAGAATTTATAGCCTTCTCCCCTTACTTAGTAAGTCTTATAGCTGTTTTAGAAAACATCTACTAATAATTAAGAATAGATTAGAGATCAGTCACTCCGTGTAAATTACAGCTCCTTTTTTTTAATATGCTGTTCATCTTTGTGGCTACTGCTAAATCCAACCAGTGATAATGAGACATTAAAATAGAAAATACTACATTTGGTGTCGTAGCAGAATGAGCTGCTTTTCTTTCCCTTTGGCAGGCAGGCCCTCTACCAGATCTGTTTGCTGTTCCCGGTTGTCAGATATAATTTTCTCTGACAGTTGGGGAAGACTCAATCAGTAAGCACTTATTAAGCACCTACTATGTTCCAGGCACTGTGCTGAGCACTGGGGCACTATAGCAAAAAGAGGGATGCAACCCCAGATACTGATGTAGGTTGAGTCAGGGGAAATGAAGTTGAGCTTCCACCCATTGGATGCAAGGAGGAAATCTCTCGTTTCCTGCCCTTGAACCTTCTATCTTCGTCTGATGTCTCTGCTGCTGATTGTCTGATTATGAATAGCTATCCTGAGGCATATCACTAATGACATCTGTCCTCTGCTGTGAAATTACTTCAGATGAGAATGCATGGCTCTTCTTTTTTAACTAGCACCTGAGGTTAACTCTTGGGAACGCTGGTCTGTTCTTGGTGGTTAAGTTCTGCTTCATGCTTGTCGTTTGCGTCAAGTGTCTTCTCTTTTCCTGGGAATGTGCCTCTACTACCCTTGAAAAGTTGGAAAGTCTTCCTTCATCTTTGGCTGCTGTTTTCCTGCTTCTTTGTTCAGTGTGACCAAGGACAGTGTAAACAGCTGTGCTCTTGCACAAGTGAGAACATCTTGGGCAAAATATGGAGCATGGCCATAGCTTGTTAGGATTTTTTTCTTTTTAATAGTTACTGCATCCTCATTTTCTTCAAAGAGTAAGTTCAGAGACATCTTTAGCCAAAAAAAAAATCCTTGGGGTATTTCAAAAATAGTGGATATTATTTTACAGTTTTTGTTCTTTTCCTTCATTTAAAAAAAATACTTCAAATAGCTCAGAAGCACTGGTATTAATTCAGAAAGGATTGAAACAGGGTCTTTACACCATGGAACATAATGTAATGATTTTCATTGCACGCAACCTCAGGACAGACTTTGTACAGCTTTTTCCTGGGGTGTAACCTCAAATCCTTCTCCATCCTCTTCTTTTTATTTTTAATACCTTGTAAGAGCGAGGAAATATGAAGCTTCAAACAACAGTATGTCCTGATTTTTAATTTTTTTTTAGAAAGAGTTTTTTTTGGCTTTTGCACTTGTGAAGGCTTAGTAAAGATGAATCAAGCTTATCTTTAAAGACAGAGGCAATCAGGATTTGGCTTTAGCCAGAAGGAATAGTAGAGGCTGGTAGTGCTGGTGTGCTTATTTAGAATACTCTAGGGCAGGGGTGTCAGACAGGGCCCATAGCTCTCCAATGTGTAGCCAGAACCAGATTCAATCGATGGTCAACAGCCATGTACTAGGCTCCTTCTGTTCTCCAGGCTTTGTCCTAAGCTCTAGAGATGCAAAAAGAAGCAAAAGACAGTCCCTGCCCTCACGAAAGGCAGTTTAAATGCTAATTAATATTCATACTACCTACATCCTAGGATTGTTGGGAAGAAAACATGTTATCAGCTTTGAAGTGTGATGTAAAATGCAAATTCAGACTGAAACAATAAAGCTAGGAAATAGGAAAGCTCCGAAGGTACCTGAAATTTTAGAATTTTAGATTAAATTGTAGATTTTAGAATAAATTTTAGATTAAATTTTAGATTTTAGATTAATTTAGATTAAGTTTTAGATTAAATTTTTTAGATTAAATTTTAGATTAAAATGTAGTTTCTAGCTAATTTTGATGTGTTGATGCATAATTCCAAAAGAAGCCTCTGAAGACGTGGTTTTCTAAGCCACTATTCAGCCCACAGGGACCCTTTAGTGAAGTGTAATGCCACCCACATTTCTTTGGGAGTTTGACACCCCGGCTCTAGGGTTGACCGTCGCTATTTGGTAGTTTCTGCTGCTTCTGAAGAGAGGGATCTTTCCTTTTGCCTTAAAGTGTCCCCCTCTGGTGGAATCCTACGGAAACTGGAGAAAAGTACCTTGACTATTTGCTGCTGATCATTGCATTTTTTAATGGTTTTGCTTATAGGAGCATGAGTATGCTTGACATGCGGTGTGAAGAAGAAGCCACCGCCGTGCAGCCCCACAGCAAGGCCCGGCAGGAGCAGCTGCAGTTCATTAACAGCCAGCTGAAGGAGGAAGACCACAAATGGCAAGATGTAAGGACAGCACGAGGCTGCTCTGAAATCCCACCGCAGCCTGCCCCAGGCTGGGCACCGTGGCCTGGCGATTAGGGGAAAAGGAGACTGAGTCTGGGAAGCTGGAGGGCCACACTGGCGTTTGATATGTGAACTGGGGCCAAGCCTCAGTTCTGCTGGTCTGTAAAACAGACAACACCAAATCACCGGATGTGATTACGTGATATCCAAGCCCTTACTCAGCACTTTCTATGTGCTAGGCACTGCTGCTGAGTTATAGAAACACAAAAAAAGGCGATCTCTCCCTTCCCCCAAAAAATCCAGTTCCTTTAAGAGTTTACATATTTATTAATATTCACACTATATCTACACTATATCCACACTATATCCACACACTATCTACATTGTAGGGTTGTTGTGAAGAAAGCTTGTAGTCAACCTTGAAGTGCTATGTAAAATGCAAATTAAGAGTGAAATGATAAAGCTAGGAAAAAGGAAGACATTGAGGATATTTGAACAGAAATGTGACATGATGTAGATGACGTTTAAAAAAATGATGAGTTTAGTGTTAGAGGCGGCAACATGTGACAGTGTAAAGATTGCTGGGCTTGGAATCAAGAAGGCCTCGATTTACTTTTCAACTGTGTGTCCCTGGGCAAGTCACTTCACTAACTCTATAAGCCTTAACAACCTTGAAGACTTATCTTCTAGGTCATGGATAGGTTACAACCTTCTTGGTAAAAGTAATTCCCACACTAGGAGTTCCCTTATGTTGACAAAATCACAAATCTCATGCACATTTGTGTGATCTAGCCTTAGTGACCAGGATATATTGGAAGAGGCGATCATAAAAGCTATGAGTTAATTGGGAATTGGGACAGTGCAGTGTTCTTGATTACCGTAGTTCAGTATGAAGCACAGGTAAAACATAGCAGCTGGTAGAATCCATATCACCTGTCCTCTTATTGAATCCTATACCTAATCATTAGAAAATTAGAACTATGTATCAATTCAGAACTCTGAACATGAATCAAAATTAATTTCAACACATTTCTTCCTTAAATACATTCTCCCTTCTAGTGTCCTAAGTTATTGCCAGGGAAGAAAATATTCCTTGCTTCATGAAAGCTTTGGATTCCGTAAGGGAACCTTGATCTGACTGTGCTAGTGGGAGTCAATGACCCAAGTAGTTTGGGGACTAAGTGGCGGTTGGAGGCTGTCATTTTAATGCAGGCAACTGTGTTAACCTGGAATTAATTGGTGAGGGTCTCTTGATGGTAATACTGTAATTACCACAGATAGTTTGCTCTATAGAAGATATAAATTGTGTAGAAAAGATTTTGAAAGCATAAACCCATAGTGATGGAGTTTCCCTGGAAGTCCGCCACAGATGAACAGTCCCATTGTGCAACTGATTTCAGAACTCTTTCTGAAGAAATAAAGACCAATGGCATATCACTATCTTTCTTGACCATGAGACACATTCTAACAAGACAAAATTAACAACTTCTGAACAACCTAAAGAAAAAAATGAAAGGAAATATGGAAACTGGAATGCTCCCTCTCCTCAATTTCCTGATTTCCTTCAAGTATCTGCACAAATCCTGCCTTTTATAGGAGGCCTTACCCCTTTCCTAGTTCCCACCACTCCCTTTCTACTCTCTTGCCTTCCATTGGAATCTCTTCCAATGGAAGAGATCATCTTCCATTTACCTTATATATTTCATATATACATAGGTGTTTGCACAGTGTCTCTCCCATTAGGATGTGAGCTCCTTGAGGGCAGGGCTGTATTTTTGCCTTTTTTTTTTTCTCAAACCCCAGTGCTTTGCACAGTTCCTGGTATATGATCCACATTCAATAAATGCTTGTTGATTTGACTGTCAAAAACACACCTTACAAACAAGTTGGGATGGTGACTAAAGTGAAAAGCTCTTGAGGAGAGGAGTGGCATGTATTTGGTAATGTGAGTTTTGGAAGGATAACATCTTTTTGTTGTTTTTCCTCCTTTCTAGGACCTGGCTCGTTGGAAAAGCCGTAGAAGAAGTGCATCTCAGGACCTGATCAAGAAAGAAGCTGAGAGGAAAAAAATGGAAAAATTGTTGGCTGGTGGCGATGGAACAAGTGAACGAAGGAAAAGTATTAAAACCTACAGAGAGATTGTTCAGGAAAAGTGAGTTCTTTTTTTTTTATATGCAATATATTTTAAAAAATTCTTTCATTGCAATCTTAACTGTGTGGTCACCTAATATTCTATTCTAAGCATCCATATGAAACCAAAAATAAATCTAAAAGAAAAGTCACAAAAGTTTTGTCCTCGACATTATAATCCTTATTCTGCATATATGCTGAATTAGCCAAAAAGTATAGTTCTTGTATTGTTCCTTTATCATCTGCCTCGATGGCCATCTTTGCAAAGCATTTCAATGACATCTCTATTGTTTCTTTCTCCCCACCTGCATTTAGGGAACGGAGAGAGAGAGAGCTACACGAGGCTTATAAGAATGCCCGTTCCCGAGAGGAGGCAGAGGGGATCCTCCAGCAGTACATCGAAAGGTTTACTATTAGCGAGGCTGTCTTGGAGCGCTTGGAGATGCCAAAAATTCTGGAAAGAAGCCATTCAACAGAGCCAAACTCATCTTCCCTGAAAGACCCAAATCCCATGAAATACTTGCGGCAACAGTCACTGCCTCCTCCCAAATTCACTGCCACTGTTGAAACTACCATTGCTCGCCCCAGTGAACTGGACCCCAGCGTTTCAGCAGGCAGTACATCTCCAAGCAAAACTGTTGTTCCAAAAGCAGTGCCTATGCTGACACCTAAGCCTTACCACCAGCCGAAAAACACGCAGCAGGTTTTGAAAACGTTTAAGGTAGGAGTGGCTTTCTTGAGATTGGAATGAGACAGTGGACTCCCAAGAGGCAGATTAGAAAAAACAGTCTTAATTCAAGAAAATGCAATTAGTTTTTTTTCAAGCAGAGCTAAAATAGTGTGTGTCCCTCCAAAGTGTGTGACCATCCAAAGATTTGGGTTTAGTAATAGGAAGGAGGTCTTACTCCTCTAAACCACAAAAACAAAGATTTAGTCTTCATGCAGTCCAATTCTAGACCAACTCCTGTTCTGAGATAGTAGAATGTCACTAATGATTCTCAGCCCTGGTTTTGCAGCGCCCCAATGTGGCTCTGGTTATCTGCCTAGGAGAGGGAGCAGGAAGTGTATTAGGTTCTGGTCTCAATCTAAAAGACAGCTTTCACTTGGTAGGTATGCAGCAAAGGGCAAATCACTTAAATTTTTAACCTCCGTTTCCTCATCTGTAAAATGGGAAGTGATTATTAATAGCTGTGATGCATCCCTCACAGGGTTAGTATATGGATTAATAATAATAATAATAACTACTATTTATTTACTACACTGTAAGGTTTATACGTGTTATCTCATTTAATCATCACAACAACCCTGGGAGTTGGGTGCTGTCATTATTACCAATTTTATAGATGAGGAAAACTTGTGAGATAAGTATAGATGAGGAATTTAAGTGACTTGCTGAAGGTCACAAAGCTATTAAATGCCTGAGACAGGATTTGAACTCACTTCTTCCTAACTCCATTTCAGGCTTACTCACTGTATCACCTAGCTACTTTTGTGGGACACGGTATATGTGAAGCAGAATGCGATTTTTAAAGTTCTATATTAATGTAAATTATTATTTGAAAAGGCATGGCAAAACTCTCCAAAAATTTAAGAAATAAATCTATCCCGTAAAGAGTAAAAACATCCTTTAAGAGGGAGGTGCCATAAGATCAAATAATCATCATATCTAGGGTATTGCAACTTCAAAAAAAGTAATGTGAAAAATAGAAAGAGTACATTGCTACCCCAGGTGGTCAGAGATGACTTTGGTGCCTGGCTATCCCTTCTCTCTGAAAAGTGGAATGGCCATATAAGCTTATTGATTATGGAGGTTATACCCAAAAAATTTAAACTGGATCCACAACCAAGGAACTTGTGAAAACTGAAGCATCTTCCCCATATCCTCAAACTCTGCTCTTTATTCTTAGAGAGAAAGGGTTGGGATCATATCACAAGGGAGCATTCATCCTTTGTCTTCAGTTCTTTTCATGGCAAAGAAAAATCGGCTTCTATTATCACTCCAAGCCGCATGGGGTTATAACAGCTTCACAGAAAAAGACAGAGCTGGAATTCACTGCTAAGAGATTCAAACCATGAGTGCAAGGACATTGTTTACTTAAATTAATTGGTTAGCACAAAGTAGTTTATCTTCCTCATTTAATTTCAAAGTACACAAGCCTAAACTTTCTGACCTTTGCTAACAGAGAGAGAGAGAGAGAGAGAGAGAGAGAGAGAGAGAGAGAGATGCTGTTGGCTTCATTACAGAAACAGCTTCCTTTTGTCTACAAGTAATTTGCTTTTTTTTTTTTTTGAGGCAATCAGGTTTACATTTTTAAAGTCATGGTTTTATAGCTTCTGTTGAAAGGACAAATGAAAATTTCCCCCATCTAATTGACTTGGTGAGGTTGAGAATTTCTGTCACTTCACTCCCAGGAAGTATGATATAAAAGGGGGAAGTAGCCCCTCAACAGTTTCTGTAGGTGCATGCAGCTTGAGCTGACCAAGAGGCCTGTATTACATCGAGCTCTATGAGTTAAGATTCAGATGTAGCTTGGCGATGGCTGGATTACCTGCTTACGCTAACAAGCAGGCTATTCATGAAAATGATACGGTATTGAGATGACGCAGAGCAGGAGAAGGAAATGAGTTTGTTTAATTCTGCATCTGAGTAGATAACCTGAATGTCTGCTTTTCCCTCCTTAATGTAAATAGTATAATGTTTTATTTTAAACAGGAATATTAGAACAAATGACTTACACCCCAGTGTTGTGGTATCCTTCTCCATGGTCCCTTATTCCTCCACTTCTGCTCCCAGGATTCTCTCAGCCTGGTCTGTTGGAATGACCTGAAATTACATTTGATGGGATCACTGGCCCCTTTCTTTGTGACAACATTGGCTCTCATAAGCAAAAGCCACCGAGGCAAACTGACATGTAGAAATGAGAGTAATGGGAGTATGGGAGCCTGGGATTTGATTTGAGAAGCAGCTGAAAGCTTTTGATTGTATAGGGTTCACTCTTATCAATTCTCACTCCCTTCATTTAATGAATTATCCTAGCATTGAAGCCAGGGATTGTTGAAATGTGTGGAAGAGACTACGCTGAGACAGAGGAAGAAAAGTAGCCTGCTCTTGTGCAAGAACTGGTTGTGTTCTTTTGCATTGTACATCCAGAGCTGCTCTATATGAGAAGTCTGAGCAATAGTGACAGGTTTTACTCCTAGGTACCTGCTTTTCTTTGAGCATTGGATGTGATCCTTATGAAGGAGTATTTTCTGCTTCCTCTAATCCAGGACTTTTTAACCTGGGGTCTCTGACCTTGGTTTTGTTTTGCTTTCAAAGCTTTTTGGTAATCATAATTTTAATATAAGTTTCCTTTGTATTTTGGAGTCCCACTGTATTGTATTTAAAATCTAATATGTTTTGCTTTATGCATTTTAAAACATTATTCTAAGAATGGGTCCATAGTTTTTACCAGACAGCCAATGGGGATGATGCTATGATGCAAAAGAAGTTAAGAATACCCACTTTAGTTCTAAGAGCTTTGACGGGAATGTGATAGAGAGAGATAGTCTAGTCCTCCTATAATGGTATATTTTGCCCCATTTCATGTGTTTGCCTCATTTCAGTGCTACATTTCTCATTTTCCTGATAAAAAAACAAAACCATTCCTAGAGTTAAGTATAGACAGGGTGGTTTTTCCTCCAGTGGCAAACCTGGGTGCCATAGTAAAACCGGAAGGCTCTATTAGGCCTTCAAAAGCTCAAGGAGTTTCCCTGTATAGATTCATGGCTGCTTCCACCAAGCCCTTAGCCTCTATAGTCCCTGCTACAAGACTGTCCGTTCCCTCCCATCATTCTAGTAAAGCCTGGGTAGGTCATAGGAACAACAAGGTGGGGCCTTTCAAGGAAGGGGTGATTTAGAGGTGCTTCATTGGCCAGCACCATGCTTCCTGGAATACCAGAGACTTTCTTGGGTCTTACTACCACTGCCCCAACAACTCTAGCACATGTGATTAGGTTTCCTGGACGATCCACCATATTGCAGAAAAGAAGCTTTGGTGGTAAAAGATAAGATGTAACTAGACTAGCAGACATCAAATAATAACAAGGAAGAAGCCATGCAGATATGAGTAATTGTTCACATATTTAATTAGCCTACTTCCCTCAGATAACTATAATCATCACCACTATTAAGAACTGTGGAGTAGTGAATAGAGTATTGGACTTAGAATTAGGAAGACCTGAGTTTGGATCTGGGCTCTAATACTAGCTACGTTGCCATAGAGTAGCCTCTTAACATTTGTGAGTCTCAACTTTCTCATCTGTAAAGATGTAATAATAAGTAACTGGACAACAGGAGGAAAAGTAATGTAAAGGGAAATTTTAAGAAGCCTATGGAGATGACTGATTACCTTTTAACTATTATGTGAAAGCTTCTTATAAAGATTTAAAAGTTGGAATTTGGAAGTTCCAGTTTCTAAAATACTCCCAATCAAGTATCCCATTCTATTTGATGTTACAGCAATATTGATACTGATATAAAAGGAGATAGACTAGATCCATGGTTCCCAAACTATAGTGCCAAGAAAACTCATGGGGGTTCTGGGGTGCTGTGGGATATTAATTTTTTTACCTATTTATTTAGTAAATAGAAATATTAGGACTTAACCTAACTTAATAAATCTAACTATTAGATATTTCTTTTGATCCAGAGGGTCTGTGCAGAGATTACTGAGACACTAAAGGCACCATGAACTGAGGAGGTTTGGAAGCCTCTGGGCTAGATCTCTGGGCCAAATCTGAAGAAGATCAAGTTTATTAGGAATAAATATTAAGTCTTACACTCAGGTTCAATTCACAAGCATAAGATTGAAACCCATGGCTAGACACTTTTGTTCTAAAAGGATCTGGGGGGGTGGGGTTAGAGGGCTTCAAGCTTAATATGAGTGTGGGAAACAAATACTCTTGGGCAGTGTTAAGACAAGAGGTAGCTAGGTGGCCCAGCGGATAGAGTACTGGGCTTTGAATCAGGAAGACATCTTCCTGTGTTCAAATCCGGCCTCAGTCACTTACTAGCTGTGTGACCCAGGGTAAGTCATTTAACTGTTTGCCTCAGTTTCCTCATCTGTAAAATGAGCTGGAGAAGGAAATGGCAAATCACTCCAGTATCTTTACCAAGAAAACCCCATAACGGAGCCATGAAGAGTTCGATACAACTGAGGAACAACAATAATGACAATTGAGTCCAGGAATAGGCAGGTTATAGATCCACTGTAGTCAACCCTACTCAGGTCAGATCTGGACTATCTGCTCAGTTCTGGGTACCACATTTTAGGACAAATTAGAGAACATCCAGAGGAGGACAGCCAGGATGGTGTAGGGCCTTAAGATCATGCCATCTTAGACCCAGTTAAGAATGAACAAGGGAGGAGCACCTAGGTGGCAAAGTGGATAGAGCACCAGCCCTGGAGTCAGGAGGACCTGAGTTCTAATCTGGTCTCAGACACATAACACTCACTAGCTGTGCGACTCTGGGCAAGTCCCTTAACCCCAATTGCCTCACCACCACCACCATTTCCCCACAAAAAAAAAAAAAAGAATGAATAAAGGAATAAATAGTTTTGTTCTACTTGGTGCTAATGGTCAGAATTCGAAACAGTTGGAAGTTCCAGTGGTTGGATCTTACAAAAAGGTCAATTTAGGCTTGATATTTGGAAAAATTCCTACACTATAACAATCCTGCCATGGAATTTACTGCCTTAAGAAAGAGTGCTTTTCTCTTCCCTGGAAACCTTCAAGCAAAGACTAGGTGACGATCAGCTATGTTGTAATGAGGTTGCCCTGTTTGGGTATGAGTTGGACTAGATAAGTTCTGAGGTCCCTTCAGACTTACAATTCTGTGAGCTTATCATCATTCCAATGTTTAGCATTAGCCATGTTCTTTGGTTATTAGGTCATATTGTGGATTTTGTCTGTTTTCTTATTTACAGGTTGATGAAAAAGTCAGCGTGAATGGAGAAACTTTTAATGGCGTAGAAGAAGAGAAAGAAAGCGAGTGTACAACAGCAACGTTTTCCCCCTCGTTAACTAGATCTCAGAGATTTGAAGGTGTGGCCAGAGTGGATGGTTCCCCGGGAGAGCTGAAGCAGGATGTCAGTAGCGTTGAGATCAGTGTAAAGAAGGCAAACTCACTGAACAGAGAATTAACAGTAAGAAAAAGCTAAGATGTGTTATTATACTTCAGTTCTTTCTGTTTTAAAATCAGGCCACTAAAAGGAGCCAAATTGATTTCTTTTTTTATGATTTGGGTTAAAAGACCATATGATGTAGTTTATGAATGACTTATGAAGGGTGTATTTAGATGGCCTTCTTGCTTGGACCTAATTGCTTGGCTTCACTTCTACTTGCCATTTGCATTTCTGGGGTCCCAAAAATTGTGGGAAAAGAGGTATGAACTAAAAAAAGGGTTTTTTTTATTCCTGTTGTTTTACATATATATGCCCTTGAGGAAGTTACAGTAATTTGATAATGAATATATGCCAGTTATCAAGTGGTATGTCAATCCTGTAGATGTATAGCCAAAAAAAGAAAAGAAAGAAAAAGGAATTTTTCTCACTTGGAAAAAATAGTCGGAAGATAAAGGGGGCCAATGAACAACTTTTGACGTGAACAGAGTTGATTTAAGATTAACCCATTGGTCTAACTTCAGAGAGATGTAACTAAATTTAGAGTATTTCAATGTTCTGTTGCTATATGAATTTTCTCTGTGCAAAACATCGAATATGTGGTAAATTCAAGCCTCATGTAAACCTCTAAAATTATACAGAGCAGGAGATAATACCTTCATAAGTCAGAGAAGCTTATATTCCTGGTAGCAAAACTTTGAAAGACAAAGGACTAAAATCTGGAACTCATCTGAAATAGCAAGAGAAAAATTCCAGTGATGAGGGTGAGAGTTTGTTTCTTTGGAGTGGGAAAAGTTATCATAAATATATGGGAGGGTTCTTAAATTGACCAAATTGCCCACCTGCTAGAGAGGAGTTTTCTTTGTTTTACTGAACAAAACATTTTATAACTGTGGACCCTGCAGATATAATACGGCCTTGAAAGGGTAAGTTAGACCTTTTTTCCAACTCATTTATCCTGACCAGCAATGAAGATTTTGTAATTTGAGCTTACTGTCTTTAGATTTTTAGAATGAGGCTGTTAGGAGTATGGTAGTGGGAGTTTTTTCTTTTTTCTTTTTTTTTCCAGCAAGTGGCTGCTTTGTTTTTTAAATTAGCATATTGGAAATATGAATTCTGACTCCTAAATTACTAGTGGGAAAGCTAGATCACTATTTGTGCAACAGAAGATGCGAATTTTCCCTATTGTTTGTGAATTTGACATCAAAAGAGTGAATCCATCCTTTTTATACCTTCCCTGGGGTAGTTAGGAAGGCTCTAAGTCTGCCCTGCTACTTCCAAGGCCTGTGGAGACACAGGATCAGACTCGAATGGCCTAAAATAATTTCCTCACCATGGCAACGCATCTCCTTGTCTCCAGCAACACAGCTTTATCATTGAGGCAGATGCCGATCCTCCCTCTGTGGAAGTTGGTTTTATCGGCCGCTTCAAGCAAACAAATCTTCACCTGAAGGGTTTTATAAATTATCGCTATCGCTTGGCATACTACCGGAAGCATTATCTTTATAAACAACAACCTGTGTTTGCTGAAGTCACAGCCCAAAAGGTTCGGCATTTTTCACAAACCAGTTGCGTGCATTTTCATTCTTTCTTTCCATCGTGTCATGAATTCTGTTCTTCTTGCTCCCATTGTTTCTGATGAATGTAGGAAGAACTTCGCTCTGTATGCACCATTGATGTATTTTTATGTTCTGTGGCAAGTTGTTTCTCTGTACATCCTGACGTACATACAGTGTTTCTGCCTTGCCATACTGGGAAGAGCCTCATACCTGTGCATTATTCTGATCTCTTAACACTAGCAATAGAATGGTTGCTTCTGACATATCATGCAAAGCTAACTTCATCATGGGAATAGCTCCTCAGGTTTTCTGTTTGTTTTTAAATGAAACTCCTTATTGTCCTCTGGCCATTTTGGTGTCTGAGTTTGTGAAAAACCGCAGCAGCATCCCCACCATCCATTTTTATCACAGCCAGGCAGAAAGCTTTGTGCCTGCCTGTGATGCAGCTTGTGATGTGTATCTCTTGTAATCATAATATATTTTATTATTTTATTCCTGACAGAGCAGGAGTGAAAAGGCTCCAGACTAAAGGCCTAAACTATTGGTTCAGATTGCTTAGTGCTTGTACTTTTGTTTTAAGTTCAACATTGATAATGGTTTCCTATCTCCTCTTATCCAAGGTTAAAATATATGGGGTGAGCATAGGTGTGGTAGTGTAGACCTGTGATCCTGCTACTGTGGTAGGCTGAGGCTGGTAGGATTGCTTGAGTTCTGAGGTTCTGAACTACAGCAGGGCTAAAGCCTGGGGCAGGTAGGTGGCTCAGTGGATAGAACACCAGGCTCGGAGTTAGGAAGACCTGAGCTTAAATCTGACCTCAGACACTCACCAGCCACATGACCCTGGGCAAGTCCCTTAACCTTGTTTGTCTTGGATTCCTCATCTGTAAAAAGACTGGAGAAGGAAAAGTCAAACCACTCCAGTATCTTTGCCAAGAAAACCCCAAATGCGACCCCAGACACGACTGAGACAACCGAACAGCAGCGAAAGGCCTAAAGCCAGTTGGGCATCTGCTCTGTTCACCAGTATGGTGAATTCCTGGAACAAGGGGCCACTAGGCTTCCTCAGCAGGGAGGGGAGGAAACCAGGCCAAGTAAGAAAAAGAACAAGGTAAAGCTTGTGCAGCTCAGCAGTGGGGTCGATTCGATAATTGTCTGATGCCCTTGCATCTGGGTGAGATAGGGAGATGACCCATTCAGCCCATCTGTCTGTCTGTCTGTCTGTCTAAAATATATGAGATGAGGCATTTAGTTCCTATGATGGGAGGAATTTGTTGGCTTTTAAAAATTAATAATAAAAAACAATGTCAAAAAATCTTCATATTCTAAGGAGCAAATTGCTACTTGGTAGTAAAAAAAAAAAAAAAGAAGACAATTCAGAACTATTGTTTTTTTCTGTAATGGGAGTTATATCCCTAATCCTTCTGTAATGGGAGTTATATCCCTAATCCCATCCCAAACATGGAAGATTCTCTTCTCCAAAAACTTACGTTGTTGAGTCATGTCTGACTCTTTGCGACCCCAGGGACTGTACTATCTGTCCATGGAGTTTTCTGGGCGAGATACCATTGGGGGTTGCCATTTCATTCTTCAGTGGATTAAGGCAAATGGAAGTTATATAACTTGTCCAGGGTTACACAGTAAGTGTCTGAAGCCAGATTTGAACTCAGGAATCTTCTGATTCCAGGCCTAGAACTCTATCCACTGAGCCATCTAGCTGCCACTTCAAAACCTTTTTAAGGTTGTATCTAAATTCTGTTTTGGCATAATGGGGTTTTGGTATTTGGTGTAAGGTGTTTTTTGAGCAACAAAAATAATATGTATCTCCTCCCAATCTGTACCATCCTCCAACCCCAGTGTATTTTTACTAGATAACCCAATAGGGGAAAACAAAACACAACAAAACACAAAAGGGATAAAGCTGGTTTGTGGTTTTCTCAACTGGGATAAAGTATGGTCCTAGTTATGCTCCACGCTCCATGTATAGGTGTAAAACTCTGGTAAGACCAAGGATTCTGCTTTTATATTGAATCAAGAAATAAATAACCTAGAGTCGTTGCTTGCCCAGGTGGACCCTCAAGGATCCTGGGAAATTCTGGAGCAAACCCAGATATGACACAGAGCCTTAAACATGGTGAGATAACACTTGCTAAACTGTCCAGCCCTGTCCTCACAACTGTAGGCTCTTGAGTTAAGCATCCCATTGATAGTGTATGACTTAACTCATTAGCTTTACCTAACTGCATTTAGCTGGAACTCAGAAATCCAACTGGAACATAGAATTAGAATAGAAGTTAGGTGTTATACCACAGTGAAGTTTGGTTTTTCACTAAAATGTTTTAAAACTCAAGTTTTACAATTGACATACTAAGTGTTCTACTGGGAAAATTCTTAGCTCTAGCAAAAACATTTTTATTAAGGAGGTCTTTCCATAGTGAGCTGACTTCTAATTTTCTCTCATTCCCTGTTGTTCCAAGGAAAACATTTTCTTGGCTGTATTTTGTTCTCGCAGCAATTATGTTTCTATTGCAAAGACAAAATTATTTTGTTCAGAAGACCAACAAAAAAAAACTTGTGTGGCAGAATAAGGTGACTGATTAACAATGGGAGACCCAGCTTCAGTGCCTCGGGGGGAATGAAGTTAGTCCCAGGCTTATTTCTATTTTTGACCCATTTGTCCAGTTCTCTATGATTCTCAAAAGAATAGTGTTCTCCTCTTCAAATAGTGTCTTTCATCCTAAAATGCTTTTCCAAAGCATCTTACAGAGGAGTCACCTCACCCACCACCAAATTGTCACAATTCCTCAGGAGTGAACAACATCTGTATAAATGGCCTCCTTCATCAGTGGGCAGGCAAGATTGTGAAGTCAGAAAGTGGGGAGTAACCTCAGCCACATCACAGATTTCTCCAGTTGGAAGGGACTTTCGAGCGTATATAGTCCAAATATCATCCAGAATATGATTCAGGCCCTTCTTTTTCATCCGAATTCCCTTCTTCCTTGATCTGTGAACCTATAACTCTGTGATCAGTGATCAGAGCCTCTGTTTGAACACATCTGATGAATGGGGAACTCTCGTGCATTAGTTGTACCACTTTGAGACAACTCCCAGAAAGATGTGACTTATATTGAGTGAAGTTTGCCTCCATGTTACTTCCACCCACTAGTCCTAATCGGTGTTTGTGAAAATCCAGTGAGGAACAGAAAAGAGTTGGAATGTTACCCTAATGTTTTATGGCACTGAGTTTCCTGTGCTACTTTCACAAATTGTAAAAACCCCATGAATAGTACAGTCCCCAGGGTCGCAAAGAGTCAGACATGACTCAACAACTTAAATTTTTGGATCAGAGAATCTTCCATGTTTGGGATGGGATTAGGAACATAACTCCCATTACAGAAAAAAAAAAATAGTTCTGAATTATCTTGTTCTTTTTTTTTTCACTACCAAGTAGCAGTTTGCTACTTAGAA